CTTAAAGCCTAACTGTGAGTGTTATTAGAGGAGCCTGTTAGCCTGTTAGCTTAAAAACTGCAATGAAACAGTTTTCATGACTTTTTCATGACTTTTTAAAACACATTTTGAATGCAAATTAACAACAATTCTATTGTAACAACAACTTCCATTTCCTAATATGCATTTATGTGTGCATACTCAGTATATGATATTCAGAACATAGGATGTTATTGATTACAGCATATTACTGCTGTCAATATAGAGTTTTGTACTACCTTTAAAAATACAGTATAAAGTCATTACTCTAAAATTACAATACAGTATAAGTGCTGTCAATATTACTTACAGTACTCATCTGGCAACTCAGCTGCCAGTAGGTTACGGTAAACGTACAGAGTATTTACAGTGTAGCAGAGCTCGAATTGGACTTTAGCATGTTTAGAAGCACATGTTGAGATTAACCTTTAAAATGCTACACCATTGAGCTGGACGAGGAATTTGCCACCAACATTAGCTTGATTACACAACGACAACAAAATTACGCCTGATGTATCGAGCGGTGTGACCTCTCACAGGCATGAGGAATAAATATCATCTAAAATATACTATAAATAAAATTCAAAATTAATTAAAAATAAAAATAACACCACCGTTTCTAATTAGGTTGAATGGAAGATTTGCAAACGTTCTGTAAAACCTGTCCAACCTAGCAGCGGGTTGTGGGCGGAGCTTGAATGGGTCACTTCAACTGAAATAGGTGTGTTAAAGCAAAGTAAAGCCTGCAGTGCTGTAGCGTTCTGAAGTTTGACCCCTAAAATCAAAAGCTACGTTCACATTACAAGCCTCATTGCTCAAATCCGATTTTTTGCTCAAATCCGATCTCTCTGACATGATGGTTCACACTCGTTTAGGTAAGTGATTCAAATCTGTCATCATTAATGTGAACGAACCGGCGTCCTGAAATGACCCGCATGAGCACATCCTACTCAGTAACATCACGTGAATGAATCACGTTCATCATCAGCACAAACTAACGAGCAGAACGAGCTTCGCTGAGAAGATCATTAACTCTGATCAGCTCTCAGCTTCATTATTAGAGCGAGACGAAGGTGAAAAAGGTGAGACGTGTTGCTTTTCCACCGTTTACAGGCTTTAACTTTTGTTCGGCGCTGTTGCCATGGTAACGCTGAATGATGGCGCACGTGCAGTGGAAAAAAAGCACAGGAATTCCGATCTGAGCGTCACATTAAGGTCGCATGGCCACAAATTGGATACGTATCCGATCTAGGACCACATATGAAAGAGACTCAGGTCGGATTTGAAAAGATCAGATTTGCGTGTCCACACAGCCCTGAAAACATCAGATCTGAGTCACATTAGGGGAAAAAATCGGATTTGTGCCACTTCAACCTGGTAATGTGAACGTAACCTAAGATGGTTAGTTACATTTAATTAGTTCCATGAATTTCAGTATAACTGAGATGGGCGTGTTCTTCTATGAGTATTTCCAAATTCTAATACTTTTATTTCTTTGTGAAGTTCTACTTTTTTCTTCAGTTCAACTTTATTCATTCACACTCTGTTTTTCACAGTTTCATTCAACTGTATTGATTATAGCTTTGTTGTTGCTCACAAATCTCACTCTGGAGCTTTAAGTCTGATAATCTTCAGTTTCTATGCTGATTGATGATAGATCCTGGAAGTTCCATTCCAGTTCCACAGAGAACTCATTAGCTACATTTACATGCAAACACAACAGCCCGAGTAAGTTCTTAGTTATTCTAAGAAACTGGGCCAAACTAATATATGTTAAAAAACTCATGAGAGTCAGTGGAGTGATCTAAGTTTTTACACCCAAATCTACCTTGAATCAACCAGCCTGGACTGCATGTTTTAATCAGGCTATGCTCAGGTTGACTAAGGCTGGCTTTACATGGTGAAACTTACCTGCAACTTTAGCTGCTTGAAACCTACATGAAAGTAATTTGCAATTGAGTTTCATAATGTAAAGAGTCCTGCAACTCAAAAGTGTCTTAACTTTGTAAAACAAGCCAACCAAAACGGTGACAACACATCATGTGACCACATCGATTAACATTCTTTCAAATGAGTTTAACAGATCAATGGAAAAGAGAATAAAACAAGATTGTTTATTGGTTGGTTGATAAAGGAAGTACTTTTAGGACAGGATGAGCAAGACATCAAATAGGATGTAACTGTAAACACTAATTAAACAAGAATTTTCAAAGGCTTGTACATATATATATATATATATATATATATATATATATATATATATATATATATATATATAGCCTAAATTGAGTTAGGAACAAGTGGTCTAGCAACACATCAGAGCTGTACTGTCCTCATATTCGTTCCTGTAGCATGAGCTGCTTTTTATAACAGCACAGCAATGCATCTGACTTTGGCATATGGACCGCAGAACATATTTTTGGCCAGGCACTAGTGACCTGGGCCCAGTTTCCAAAAAAAAACATCTAAGTATAAAGATCACCTTAAATGGTGGAAAGACTGTTAAATTTAATGCTCTTTCTACCATTTAAATATGATCTTTGTGCAACGATGCTTTTGGGACTCTCAGCTCAGACTGGTTAATTTGAGACTGACAAACAATTCAATCCTGCACAGATCAAATAAGGTTTATTTTTATTGTATTGATTGTGGTTGATGTATGTTAAGCATTTTTATTTTAATATTAGGGATGGATTGATACTGATGCTGGTACCTAAAAAATGCACGAATAATAACATCCGATACGAGCTTGTACTGTGTAACGTAAGCCTTGTGCATTGCACTATTGGATAAATGACTAAAGCAGGCAGTGATCCAGGGGCTGCTCACACAGAAAAGTGTTTTCTGACACCATGGCTGTCGGACACAAAGTCGTTGGTCACTTTAAACATGCGTTGGCACATTCTCGCAAGGCGTACGCTGTGCAATATTCGCAAGTTTTAAGCAAATTCAATCACAGCCACTTCCTCAATACAGGTGGACATACATAGGCCAGCAAAATGGAGGCAAAACAGTCGACATTTGCTCCTAAAGTCTGTCTATGGCACGGATAGGACTGAGCGTTTTTCGTAGAGTGTCAGTACATAAATCATAGGCTTTGTCTGTACACATGAAGAATGAAGTGAAGAATGTTCAGACTGTTAAACACCACTGTGCGTAATTAGGTGCACTTTAGCCATTAGAAGGTGAAACCAACCGAACAAAAGAAAAAGATACTAATGTCCCAAAACCCCAAACTCTGGTTTGCACTTTAGAAAGCAAACTCGGTGTTAAAACAGCCTTAGACTAATACTGAACCATTGGTTGCATGTAAATGTAGTTAGTGCTTGAGCAGTTTTTTGGATCTGATCATTTTTGACAGTTGGTTTTTGATAGTTTTTATTGTGTAATTATGTCAATGAAGTAAAAATGCTTTTACGTCAGGATGCTCTTAGGCTCTTCTACCCAACTTTTCCTAGAATAAAGAATGATAAACATCTTTGTCTCAATACGAAAGCAATTTCTTTCTTTCTCTTCCTTTCTCTCCAAGATACAGGTACTGTCTAGATGTGGGCTGCTGATTGTCTGGCACCTCTTTTAGTCCACTGGAAACCATATCTACACATGAAAGACATAAACACATACTGACATAGTCTGGTCTGTGCAAAATCAGAGCATGTATAATCTGTTCTTGGTTCTTTAATCAATCTCCAGCCACAATTAAACATGTCAGCCCTGCCCAAGCTGCTGTCTGAAGCAATGACACTAAAATCGATCTCAACTTCAGCTTCGTACCCTCTGTCCTATCAGCTAGCTCCACAATTTCTGCAGCAATCTCCACCACACTTCAGATAATGTTATTATGGACAAGCGTTCTGCAGTAATTTTTGGCAATGATACTGTATCCCTAACAATCATAGCATTTCATTTAAGAGGATCAATCAGAAGAGCATTTCTTGATACATCGCAAGCACCTTTTAAAGCATCAAACAGGACAACAAACCACAATAAACGGTGATAAAATAATCTACGCTCTTAAAAAAGATGGTTCTTTAAGAGTTCTTTAGTAAAGAAAATGGTTCTATTTAGAGCCATGAACACTCAAAGAACCCATTGCATGATTAAAGGGTTCTTTGCATCATGAAAGGGCTCTTCAGAATGTGCTGTAGATGGTTCTCTATAGAACGTTTTTGAAAAAGGTTCTATATAGCATCCAAAAGGGTTCTTCTATTGTTATGATGTCAAGCTTGTGACAATAGAAGAACTGTTTTGGGTGCGTTACAGAACCCTCTAAAGCACATTCTCCATCAATCATGATGCAAGGAACCCTTAATCATGCAAAGGGTTCTTTGAGTGTTCATAGTTCTATATAGAACCATTTTCTTTACTAAAGAACCCCTGAAGAACCATCTTTTCAAGAGCGTATGTATCGTTCACACAATGGTTCAGTTTGTAGACAATAACAGTAATTAATTCATGGACCAATCAGAAAAAAACAAAAACAGACTTTCTTTTACTGATGAAATCAAAGTTTTCCATTCCGCCTTAAATGTTAGGTGCAAGAATGTAACTGCTGCACCATTTAAGGTGGAACAGGAAATTCAAATACAAAGCCAATTTCAACCTCATTCATTACTGTAACAAATGGCCAATAAATCATACACAGTCTAATGATTTAAAAATTCAGTTGGAGAGCAAAATTGCACTACGCTGTTGCTTTGCAACATTAGTTCCTGATCCTGCATATTTATAGGACACAGATGCAAACTGTGATCTTCTGATTATTATAAAAATAGGAATATGCACTACATTTGGTAAAAAGAACAACACAAGGGAAACGGTGTCTACACTAAGGTGCAGGACTTCAGAACAGGGCAAAGCAAAACAAGCCAATTCTTGGAAAAAAAAAATCCATCAAATTCATTTTGCACTGAAAGTCATTTGTCACCAAGGAGAGCAGCAACGTTTTCCACAGGACTGGGGACTCTCTTGCTTCTTCACTGTCATGTGACCTCGGCGTAGGTGATGGGACTCTGAAAACCACAAGATAAACAAAACATGAAGACCCGTCCTTCTGCTACTGTCCATTTGTTTGGAAGACTGAACATCAACTTTCTAGCCCATCGACCTCGTCCTCACTTGATGGTGCCAGACGTTTTCAGACAACAAGTGAACATCATTTCCATTGATAAGGATTATAATCCAGCATCGTTAATTATTTTAATCTGATACAGATTTATTTTTTTGATCCAAAATAAAATACACTATATGGACAAAAGTATTGGGACACCTACACATTACACCGACAGGAGCTTTTATGAATCCCATTCTAAACCCATAGGCATCAATATGGAGTTGGTCCCCCCTTTGCAGCTATAACAGCTTCCACTCTTCTGGGAAGCTTTCTACAAGATTTTGGAGAGTGTCTGTGGGAATTTTTGCCCATTTTTGTCCAGAAGAACATTTGTGATCAGACAATGATGTTGGACGAGAGGGTCTGGCTCACAATCTCCATTCTAGTTCATCCCAAAGGTGTTTGATGGGGTTGCGGTCAGGGTTCTGTGAGGGCCAGTCAAGTTCTTTCACACCAAACTCACCCAGTCAGGCCTTTATGGAGCTGCTTTGTGCACTGGGGCTCAGTCATGCTGGAACAGAAAAGGTTCTTCCCCAAACTGTTCCCACAAAGTTGGAAGCATAGAATTGTCCAAAATGTCTTGTGACGCTGAAGTATTAAGATTTCCCTTCACTGGAACTGAGGGTCCTAGGCCAACCCCTGAAGACCAACCCCATAGCATCATCCCTCCTCCACCAAACTTTACAACTGGTGTGACTGAAACACATGAACTCAATAATTAGGAGGGGGATCCCAATATTGTTTTGATTAAGGCAACCTTAGCTAACTAGGCAAACTTAGCAACTGTTTTGTAGCTAATGCTAAATCTTTAGCCACCATCTGTACAGGGATGTATTATCTGGTTTGGTTTCAATAATTTGTTTTTATTTAAAAGCTCAATTGAGTATCCACATTATTTCTACACTCCAATGCGCTTTGAAGTCAATAATCTTAATTACTGGAATGCTTCTTTGCTTTTATGCCGATGTTTGAAATTGATCTGACAAGAAACCTGGACCTGCAGAGGAGAAATATCTTAGGGGATTCTATTTATGGCTGATGCAAAGTACTTATGCCAATAATGTCATTGCATTTTAACTTTAATTTAATTTTGTTCACGCTCTCAAGTACAGGCATAAAAACACAAAGCGATGCTATGTAAAAATGTAAAAATCTGTTAATTCACTTAAGTTTTTTTATTAAACCAGTGAATTCTGATGTCAGTTCTAGTTAAAATAAAGACATTTTAAACTCTTTAAAGTTTAAACACTTTAAACATTTCTTTAAACATTTTAAAGTCTTTCTGCAAAGTTTTGAATTTGAAATGTGTCTTTTATTACAAGAGTGTTAGCCTGTTAGCTTGTTAGCTTTCTGCTAACTTGATCAGCCTACTCCAATGAGAGCAGACTACATCCAATTACAGAGAATATAAAGTGTGAATCAATTAAAGAGAGTCTATTACACTCTCATAAAAAAAGGTAGTAAACTGTCACTGGGGCAGTACTCCTCTTGTCACTGGCGTGGGACTTTCAAGGGTACATCTCAGTACCTTTAGTCAGGGAACATAACTGAACCATAATCCATTGAAGTTATATTTTCTGAGTTGTACTGACTCCACACACCCCGTCTCGTCTCCAGGCTTTTATTTTACTGTTCTGTTTTAAATCATTTGGTTATGAAAAGATACAAATCTGTACTTTTCACCTGGAAAAACCTATTTAAGATACACAATCAGACCTTAAAACCACTGTTGTACCTTTGAGGGAACATTTACATTGTTTGTACCTTGATGAAGAAAAATGTATCTGCACAGAACCTTTATTTCTAACAGTGTAGCAGCAACCAGTGATGCTTAACTGGCAATTCTTTATATGGCTAGATTATATGTGCATGGATTTCAACAATAACAGCTAGGCTTTATCAAGCTGTGATTATGAAGTACTGCACTTTCCTGAGAGGTTTAAGATCATAATAATCCGATTCTTGCCGTAGTTTCAGTTTCACTCTGCTGTGGTTTCAGCTGCAAACTGCACAGTAATGCTTCAGAGACATTTAACAGGACATAATAACTTAACAAGTAAGCATATTTTCTGTGACTTAGTGAAAACAGTAATGACCACTTCCATTCCCCAACCAGATATTTCGGCCATAATCTCACAATACAGCAGTCATGTTAAAAAAAAGGTGGAGAAGCCCGTCACTATTGATTATATGAGTAATGTAGCAATCATTTTGACAATTACCCTGCTAGAAAAAACAGCACAGACCAGCATGCCTGGTCACCAGCAAAGCCAGTATATGTTGTGCTTTGGATGCTGGTATGTTGGTCAACTAGCATGACTATGCTCAGTGATCAGCTAAGCCAGCATCAGACCAGCATTGACCAGCATAAACCAGCATAGACCAGCTTAGACCAGCATGAACTTGGTCTGCACTGTAAAAAATGGCTCGTCAGATCGACCTAAAAAAATATGTCATGTGATAACAAGTAAATTAACTAGTTTTATTCAACCTAAATATATACTTTAAATGAGCGCTTCTTTCAATCAAAGTAGATTTCTGAGTTGAATCAAACTAGTTCAATTGCTTGTTACCACATGAAGTATTTTTTAGGTAGATCTGCCGAGCGATTTTTTACAGTGCGTGTTGTTTTTTCAGCAGGGTAACTGACTAATGTTCAGGCGTTTATCATTTTTTAATTGCTTTATTTAAGGCCAAACAAAAAAAATAGATTTGACTAGAAAACAGACTTGAAACATTTAAAGCTTGTAACAGATTTCCAGATGTATATTCTTCACTTTGTAAATTGATGAATATTATTGGAGAAGCCTGTTAGCCGTCTGTCAAGCTGTATAGCATAGACCCTAGTCAAACTTTTTATTTTAACTACAGTTTGGAACATCAGCCATTTAGTTTCACTTTGAAAACATTCAATTCGTAACTACAACTATAAATGCATTAGTGAGTTCTTGCTGGTGTGGGTTTCCTCCCTTTCAGTGACTGTCACAAATGCGACTTGATTACTAATAACTCCCTCATGTGGAGGATGTTCAGACTGCTAAGCTGGGCTATAGAGTTACCTGCAGGTATCCTGTTTATCTTCAATAAGCCATTCATGGAGAATGTAAAACTATCTCTTTTTGAACATGCTACTGATTTATTAAGTAACTGAGTATTTAATGAAAATGGATACATTAGTTTTTACCATATTCCACGAACATGACAACCATGCCCGTGCATGCCATGCATGTACATTTGGACCACTGATCTAGGTTGATGTACAGTCTGTAACTGTTCTTCTCAGACTTTGAGAATCACTTTAACCATTTTCAAGATTAACGATGTAGCCTTGAAACAACCACAGACAGAGTGGGTGCTAGCCATGCATCGCAGACGCATACAGTATGTCTTCAACAGTCTGATAATCTTGATGAACTACCTGCTGCAGGCCTGTGGCCTGCCCTCATATGAATCTGGGGAAGTCACATTGAGCTATTTATCATATGTAGAGGACAGAAGAGCCATTGCTCCTCTAGGGCGCAGGTCAGAGGTTATGGACACTGCTATCTAAATTACAAATACACAGTCTGCCTGAGCCTGGGCTGCTGAATATTGCATGGCCTAAAAAACATTGTTGAACACTGATCAAGATGCTACTATGGATTTATTTGCCTCTCATTAAAAACAGTGCTGTCACAATATTATAGTCCACTGGTAAATGTCCTGCTGCTTGACCTTTAACTTGAATGATTCGCATACTCAAAATACAGGAAATAATAGTATTTTTTTAATGAAACAAATGAGTTGCCTATAGTGCACATTGTCAGCATTTAAATCAGTATACGAGGCTAAAGGCTGCCGGCAACTGAACAACCTAACCATGTAACGATGATGACTAATAAGCATAATTACACATAATTTGCATTTTTAGGTCAAACTGAATGTAACACATTCTGTGTTATGCAGTTTTGGCTTTATATTCGGGCTTGTGCACAGGTTTCATACAGAACATGCAGGCAGAATCTGTCCAGATTATGTCTGTAATTGGTGCAAAAAGCCCAGTCCATTGTGCCCTCAGTGTCTTACAGATTTTTGGCTGGTTAAAGACTTTTCTCTCCCCTTATGTAATAAGAAAATACACACCTAAACATGCAGTTTTTGAGCCGTGTGCATGGAAAAATCAGCTGCACTTCTCTCCCTTATGCATATGCATTGCACAGAAAATAAGTGGAGCTATGGTAAATGCAATATGTTGCTCAGCTACTAAAATTTGAGCAACTATGGTGGACAGGTTTGCCTGTAATTTTCCCTAATCAGACGTAAATTAGTGTTAGTGTCTCAAATGCAGTTACTGGGAGTTTTCTTCAACAACAGCAGCAAACACAGCAGCTAGTCAAAAGAACAGGCCTCAAAGATGTGCTGAAGAAATATTTACCAACATTATCTCAGCTCTCTGGACAGATGTACACATATGAAAAAATGCAGTGCAAATGATGCCGTGATGCATATGCAAATTTCCCAAATTCTATTTTGTTTTAACTGGAGTAACGTAACACCCCATAGAATGTTATGGTGGAAAAGAGCTTCGTTTATTAGCACTGCTATCTCTTCATCACTAAACTTTCATTTTCTGTTTTGTCTTCACGGCTCTGGCAAACGTTATCCTTTGTGGTGTTCTGCAGGGTTCTGTATTAGGCCCACCTTTATTTCCATGTGCATGCTATTCGGTACACAGTTATATATCTGTTGAGCCAGATTATACTAGTGCTTTAAATAAACCAAGAACTGAAATTCTCATTACTGGTAAAAAGTGAAGAATACAACAGTTTTAAGTGCTCTGAGCAATCTGGCTCCAAAAAGTAGAAGTTAGAAATTTTGGAGTGGAAATTTTATAGCCTGACTAGTTAAAAAATAAAAGCTGAAAACGCATTTATTTAGTTTAGCATTTTATTAGCATTTTATTATTATATATATTTATCATCCTGAGTATTTTGTTTCTTTATGAATTATTCATTTATTCATTTTTTATTTAATGCTCTCTTTCTTTCTCTATTTCTTTTATCTTTTATTTTTATTTAACAAATGTTTATTTTAATTTCATTTTATCATGTGCTGTTCACTGTTTACATGTACACCATCAGTTCTCCGTACAGCTTCATTTAATTATACTGTGAAGCACTTTGAGCATTTTTATTGCATTTTTATATATGAAAGCTGCTATGTAAATAAAGATGATGATGATGATGATGATTCTTCTTATTATTATTATTATCATTATTATTATTATTATTATTATTATTATTACATAACATTATGTAATAGATCATAGATAACCAATGGGTGTACCCGTTGGTCTAATATGTAATAGTAATGATGAGATCAGTCCAATATAATGGATCAGTTTCTTGGACATATAGTAAGACTAGTCTTGGACCACTTCATTTTGAATGAAAATGTAGTCCAGGACTAGGGTTAATACCTGTCCAGGAAACTGACCCTAAACGTTTTAAACATATTCAGCTCTTGACTTTGACTTACCTTATATTTTATTATTGTATTATATTATATATTTATCTGGATGGAATACATCAGGTCAGATTTGTATAATGGCTTGAATGATGAAAGATAGTAGAAATATATTTGTAGAAATGTAGTAACGGAGAGATGCAGGTAAGATTCTTTCTTTCCATGCTACATTATAGTAATAATGACCTGAAACATCTTATCCAGTGAAAGACAGAAATGAACTCTGACACAGACACGCACGAGCCAAAGCACATGTTAGATTTACATTTTTATGCTAATTTCTATGTTTTTGCCCATGGAGCTGTGGAATTCGTGCCACATAGCAGACAAACACAATCCTTCCACAGGCAGAGAGCACAGAGGGTGCACAAAATGACCCCAGATGGCTGAAGCAAGCTTTCAAGTTTGGTTCTGAAATGATGTCTAATGCTTCCTGATTTCTGAGCACTCTATGCATTTCTAGCATCAATAACAGGGCTGTAATGCTCACTAATTGTTATCACATTTGCCTTGAAGGCTGCCTTCTGCGTCCTGAGCGTTCTGACCAATCACAGATGTCCTTTGGGTGTTTGCATGCATCACGGCAACCGATATAAACAATTTTGGTCAAAAACAAGGCCGGCTGATTTTGAAACACATAACATTAAGGGTTTGCTGATGTGTTTTAACATATTGGAAGGTATACTGAAATTGTAAAATGTAGTAACGATGGACTACATACAAATAGTTCTATACTGTAGAAATACTCTTGGTAAATATTACTTGAGTAAAAGTGCAAAAGTATTCTATGTAGATTTCTACTTGAATAAAAGTGCAAAAGCACTTGCGCATGTACTTAAGTATCAAAGTAAAAGTACTTTAAGTTGTGGTAGACAAAACAAGTTCGATCAAGGAGACTTGTGTGGCTGCAGAAATGAAAACCAAGTTTGCTGTTAGCTTCTGAAGTCACACAGGTTTCCTAAATAGCACCTGTTCATCATATACAAGAATATAACACAATATCAATAATATCTCACTGTACCTTTACTTTTTAAGTACATTCACAAGCAAATACTTCTTTTTTTTAGTATTTGGTAAAAATGTACTATGAATGATATGTCTATAAGAACCTATTAACACATTCATAATACATTATATTGCATACATAAGGCATCATGAACATGGCTGTAAATAAGAATTGTTAACATAATGCATAATACAAGTGGTGCTCATAACAAAATATAAGAGCTTGTAAGCTGCATTTGTCCACTCTAAGTAAAGTGAAGCGCACTGTACTGAAGCCTCTTCTGGTATTATGAGTGAGGCTTCAAGTTGAAGTATTTACTGAAGGATTTACTGAAACACTAAAACATACAAAGTAAAGCACATTACAGGCTTCAAATGTCAGAGTTTAAACTAGATATCCATCAGTGTTTTACCCAATGTGGGGAAGTAAATGTACACCACCGTTAGCTTGGCACTAACTTAACACTGCATATCCAATAGAATGCTAGCAGAAATCAGCATTACTGTAGTGTAGTGATACAGAGTGAAGGGTTCTAGCGCCTGACGTTAGAACCAGTGAGGGAGCAAATCACAATGACAGCACTCTACTCTCTCACCTCTCCCTCTCCAGGCCTTCTTCACACTCAGTGTGATGTCAGAGGGGGTTCAGGAGAGGGGTCTGATGGGTACTTGGTTTGCTGTGTTGTAATGTAACATTTAAAGTGAGAGCGCTTGTTAAGAAAAGCGCACTGGACAGCCTGTTTGGAGCATCTGGATATTCGGGACTTCCCCGAAGATGCAGCCCTAACAGCACCAGTGGTGAGAAATAAAATATTAGAAATAAATTTGTGTATTTGTCTTTACAATCTCCAAGCTGGGACTGACTTCTTTGGCACTGATGTTATTAACACTACTGATAATGCATTATGTTAACAATTCATAACGTGTAATAAACTTGGTTATAAAGTGTAAGTCAGTGTAATTCATTTTTATATTTATAACCATGTTTGAAATGCCTTATGAATGCATGAATGTGTTTACAGATGCTTAAAAATGTGACAAATATTGCAGAACTGCTTTAAATTAGCCACGTTCAGGACTTTCAAGCATGAACTGCAAGCAAGGCGCTTTCACATCAGGTTCAACTGCATCCAAATCACCGCTTGTTTCGTTGTCGTTCGACAGTTTCCTGAAACACACGCAGAGCAGTTCGTATGTCATTCAGGAGGTCGAATCTGCATTCATTTCTATTCAGCTTTGATGAATAAGGGGCAGCGTTACTTTGTCCCCTATAATCATTCAGCCCTATTCAGTACTTTTTAAACAAACACGTACTGTGTTCAAAAAGTCCTGGGCAGTTTCACATTTCATTAAAATCACCTCCATGTGCCGCGGTTGATGCATAACGAACGCTAAATCGATACCCACTATAAAAGCCAGGTCTTTAGCACTGTCAAAAAAATCACTCTCGCTCGTCTACCTGATCGGACAGCTAATTACCCTGCCAGCTTAGCTGCTTGTCCCACTTCTGCAGAGCCCTGAGAGAGCAGCATGGAGCTCTGACTGCATTTCTCCATCAAAAATAACACCGATTCGGAGGCATCCCGGGATATGAAAGGGGCCCGGAGGGTAAAGCCAGCTTTACTTGAAGGCTGGAGGCGGAATACCTGTGAGGATATGTATTTCTCCATGGTGTGCTCCATCCTGGGCTGGCCGAGCATGGGAGCGCTGGAAACGTTTTCCTCCGGTGGAATCTCACCCAGCAGCGGCTTCCCTTTGAAGTTCTTCACCACGCAGACCACCTTAGAGAACAGCCCACGCAATCATGACAGAGAAAGAGAAGGAAAGAGACAGGGCTGTTACGATTACTCAAATAAACTCATATTAAAATTTTTTATTCAATTTATCTTGAATAGGAAATGATTAGATGCAAATTTTACAATGATAATGCAAATTTTACAGTACAAAACAGAGCCTGATAGACATCAATAGGGCTCTGCTTGGTTTGTTATTGCCCAGGTAAAGGGGACGTCCACCCATTTTTCAAAAGAATCTGCATAATTTTATGGTTAAGATGTGAAGAAAGTCAGAGTGGTTTGGTGTGAAATGCTCTGTTCTAGAGAAACAAAATTGCTCACAGTGGTGGTGATAGGAGCCAGATGTCCACTGGACGTCCACCTCTAAAAGCTCCCTCACAGAAAGCTATTACATGTAATAGTTTTGAATCCACCGCCTGATGTCTGAGACACTGTTTTAATACCACAACTATAAAAAAATCCATTTTTTATAGTTCATTTCACACCAAACCACTCTGAATGGCTTTGTTTACATCTCAACCACTGAATTATGCACAAGTGTTGAAAAATCAGTGTAATTCCCCTTAAAGTAGATTTTTATTGTTTTGCCTTTTTGATAACTCTTCAAAATAATCAATACATTACTGGATTACTAATGTAATCAATAGTGACTGCTCCAGAAAGAGAAAAAGAGTGAGTGTAAAAGCGCTTTTAGACCTCCAGAAAGAGCCGGGGGCAGTTTTTCAGCGAGAGAAAGCCCCGGCTCCTCTCGGCGAAGGCCGTGAATGATGGTTTATGTAACTTGTAGCTGGGCAGGGTACCTCGCATGACTAGCTGCCCTAAATGAATCTCTGTGTGCTCTCTCAGAGGGGAAGTATGCAAGTCTGTCCCAGAGCGCAATCATCCATTATCAAGGCAAAACGAGCATTTTCAATGAGACAGGGACAATATGGGCAATGTTAGAGCGGAGCGCAACAAAGAGCAGGGGATGATTTTAAATGGAGGACATCTCAGGGCACCAAGCCCTGCAGTCAACTGTTGAATTAAAAAAAGATGCAGCAATTCATCCTCTACAATGCACGCTTTGAAATCTGCAGCCGGTTTTGTTTGTGCTCAGTGTTCTTAGCGATTCTGGGCTGTAAGATGTTAAACAAAAAGGGTAGAACTTACTGATGAGTAGACGCCCTTCACTGTAGTTAAATCACTGAAATGCACGGCCTTGTGTGGCTTATTGACCTTATAATATGGCAGCAAAATAGAATATGATAAAACTCCAGTGTTCAATAAATTATTGAATTTATCATTATTAATAAACCCAGTGGACGGTTCTTCCTCCATGCAGTGTAGCTCATTAACAGTGGGCTATGGCTGCCAAGCAATATAGATGTTACTCCTATGTTTTAACTTGATTTCAACCAATTTTTCAACGTTTCTGCATAATTAAATGGTTAAGATGTAAACAAAGCCATTCAGAGTGGTTTGATGAGTAAATTCTCCCTCCTTTCTAGAGAAAATGACCAGCTTACAATTTTGGCGATAGGAACCTGGGGTCAAAAATATGCTCATAAATGACCGCTGAACCCAAATGGGTCTTCTAAGTTTTATATGTAATGTCGATTATGGGAAAATAGCGGTATGTTTAAAAAAAAGTGTTTTCTTTTTGTATCTATATTATCTTATACACCTGTGTACACCTCTCCAACATAAATGTCACAAACATCAAGCAGTGTATTCAAAGCCATTTAATGTAATAACTTTCTGTGAGGGAGCTTTTAGAGGTGGACGTCTGGTTCCTATCACCACCACTGTGGACACCGTCTGTAGAACAGAGTATTTCACACCAAACCACTCTGAATGAACTTTGTGTACATCTTAACCATTAAATTATGCAGAAATTGGTCATACGAGTGTATACGAGTGAGTATTTTACAATGGCTTCAAAGGCGGTTCAGCCAATCAGGTTTTAGAACCAGAACTCTTTATGAACTTTGTTTTATAAACACACTCACATTCGATGCACACATATTTGTAAGCAGACATCCTGATCTCCTCCCACTACTAAATCCTCCTCCAAGTTGATGCCATATGACATTAGGATGCTGTAATGTTTGATTTTACCACACACTGTCCACTCCCACCTCCCCCCTCCCCTTCGTCTCCAGCTGGAGAAATAGGTCAGTGTATATCACAGCCTCATGAGCCGGCCCCAAGAGGGAACACGCACATTCCACACAACCCCATCCACAACGCTGCTTTCCCCCAGCACGAACCAACTGAACGACAGACCCCACACTGTACACACTTTAAAGTCTGACCTTTTGTTGTCTCAGCATCGCGCTGCTTCAACACTCACTGAACATTTAGCCAAGAGGAGAGAAAGGCCGAAGCTGGAGCTGTGTGGCTTCGCCCCATCTGAATTTCTCAAGATACATCTGTACATAGGTGATAACTGAACTTTAAATATCAGCATTTTATTTTTACATTGCCATTTATATTTTGTAATTAATATTTTTTTATTTGTTTATTTATTTATAACCCGATTTTTCCCCTAATTCAGTAATGCCCAGTTCAACCTGCTAGCTAGGTCTCACCCTATCACACAATGCTACCAAGCAGGCAGGGTAAATGCTATCACATGCTTCCTGAAGACATGGGAAGCTCCAGCACATCTTTCAAATGGCCCTTAATGCAATGTCACTGGACAGCTCAACATGCTTGCAGGAGAATGCTAACTGCTAATTCTGCTACATCACCTAAAAAATAACCTGCCTTGGCTAGCCCAATGCTGAGTGATGGGGAAAGAGGGAGGACCATCCTACCCACCCAGAAAGAGAGGACAATTATGCTGTTTTGGACTCCAAGGTACAAATGGCTATGGCATCGCTGGGCTTTAAACTTGCGATATCTTGACGAAAGTGGGTTTCCCTTAACATACGTTTTTTTTAAAAAAATGCAATATTGGTGAGCCTTATTTGAAAAGGGATAGGCTACACCCTCTCTCTGCGAGTAGCCAATCAGAATAAGCCTTTTTAGAGCATGTACTTTGAACAGTTAACGAAAAAAGCCCTGAAAAACAGCCCAGCTCATTATCCCTCCTCCACCAAACTTTACTCTTGGCACTATGCATTCTGGTAGCGTTCTCCTGGCATCTGCTAAACCCAGATTCATTCATTAGATTGCCAGATAGCAAAACATGATTCATCACTCCAGAGAACATGTTTCGACTGCTCCAGTCCACTGGCAGTGTGCTTGACACCACTCCAGCCGACAACTGGCCTTGCACATAGTGATCTTAGGCTTGTGTGCAGCTGCTCGGCCATGAAAACCCATTTAATGAAGCTCTCAGCTCATAGTTCTTGTGCTGATGCTGCAGAGGTAGTTTTGAACTCTGTAGTGAGTGATGCATAAGAGAATAGGTGATTTAGAAATGCATCATCACTCTGTGGCCCTGCTCTGTTGAGTTTGTGTGGTCTACTGCTTCGTGGCTCAAAATGATGGCACTTACAGTTGGCTGGGGTAGATCTAGCAGGGCACAAACTGACTCGTGGCAAAGGTGACCTGCAATGACAGTGCCACATTTAAAGTCAGTGAGCTCTTCAGTACGACCCATTCTCCTGCCAATGTTTGTCTATGGAGATTGCATGACTATGTGCTTGATTTTATACACCTGTTAGCAATGGGTGTGGCTGAAACTCCTGAATAATTAGAAGGGGTGTCCACATATTTCGCTAAAACAATTTCTATAACACTCAGCTCTGGCATATTTTATTTAGAACACATTGATAATAAATTGCAATATTTTCCACTTTCATTTTCTTATCTTCCAACAGGCTGTGGGAAGAGGTGCGGACAGCTCCTACATACAGCTGTCCCACTCCCCACTTCTGCTTTTCTGCTGTTTTCTGCTATGTTTGAGTGCTTCATTATGTTTCCGCTTTGTGTCTTATAGATGAGGAGCCCTATGGCCATGCACGTGCCATGCAGGCCACATGGGTCTGACCAGGCACAGATGTGTCTGTTCCAGCCAGGCATAGCAGCAACACCTGAGAACAAAGAGTCAGCTCGCTGATAAATGATTTATGTACTGGAGAATTTAAAGGAAAACTCCACTGTTGTTCAGCCTGAGCTACATCTGTCACATCTGTGGTGTACAGTACAAATTTAATGCACGTTCCGTTGAAATATACACAATGCAAACCACGGGCAGTTGTTGAATTCTATAGTAAACAACTATGTACTATAAAACATGCACAGCCTTGTGTGGCTTATTGACTTCATTATATGGCAGCAAAGTAGAATATGATAAAAAAAAACCTCCAGTGTTCAATTAATTATTGAATTTATCATTATTAATAAACCCAGTGGACAGTTTCTCCTCCACTCAGTGTAGCTCATTAACAGTGGGTTATGGCTGCCAAGCAATATAAATGTTATTCCTATGTTCTAACTTGGCACATTAAAGGGGATTTCAACCACATTTTAAAAGTTTCTGCATAATTAAATGGTTAAGATGTAAACAAAGCCATTCAGAGTGGTTTGATTGGAAATTCTCCTTCCGTTCTAGAGAAAATGACCAGCTTACAATTTTGGTAATCGGAACCAGGGGTCAAAAATATACTCATAAGTGACCAATGAATCCAAATGAGTCTTCTAAGTTTTATATGTAATGTCGATTATGGGAAAATAGCAGTATCTTTAAAAAAAAAGTGTTTTCTTTTTGTATCTATATTATCTTATACACCTGTGTACACCTGTAATGTAGTAACTTTCTGTGAGGGAGCTTTTAGAGGTGGACGTCTGGTTCCTATCACCACCACTCTGGACACCGTCTGTAGAACAGAGTATTTCACACCAAACCACTCTGAATGAACTTTGTGTACATCTTAATCATTAAATTATGCAGAAATTGGTCATATGAGTGTATGTTTTTTAAAAAAAGTGTTTTCTTTTTGTACCTATATTATCAGTTATGATAAACAATTATGTACTGTAAAACATGTAGGTAATGTTTAGCAGAATATTCTCATATTTTTTTTAGAAATTGTAAATTAAGCTACAAATCCGTAAAATCTGTTCCTGGGATGCGACTAGTTTTCCAGAGTGAGAAATGTGTGATACAGGTTGAAGATTCGGTGCTAAAATGCACAATATACTGGCTAAAAGAAACAACTAAATATAGTTAAAACACAGATTGGGACACTAATAAGTTAGGTTTATAAGCAATATTAAGCCACTTTGTGGCTCAGAAGTAACAATTCTGCATACACTTTCCCCCTATGCACATACATTTGGTAAGCATTTTTAACAGTTTCAGTTAACCAATCTAAAAAGTGGGGGTGCTGTGGTCCCCTCAGTCCCCTACAGTCCTGTGTCCTGTGCGCCAGTGTTAGAAAGTTGGATTCAAGTTCTTAAGAACAGATTTGGTAATTCTTTCTTAATTCTATCACACTCCAACACCTGCTGTTATTTTATGCCCAGAATTTAGCAGCTGTCCAATGGCATCTATTATAAGTCATAAAAGACATTATAATACTGATGTGGCAGATGGAGATGAGGCTGGATATTCCTTTAAGGCCACTTCATCACTCTGTCAGAGCATCAGTGATGATCTGAGGCTTCTCTAATACTGTATCACAGACTGCTGATGGCTTGAAATGAGAGTTCATTGACATTTAGCTAATTTCCAAGGTTAAGCAGGTCAGTTAATGCTAGCCTTACTAATTGTAAACATCTGTAAGATGCCATAACATTCATCTGCTGTCTTCCTTTAGCTGCAGTGTTAACTTAGCTGCTGCGTTCCCAATCCTGAACCACATTCACTAAGTTTAGAGGTATTACAAATACACAGTCTGCCCAGTCACTCCGGAGTGGCTGCGCGGTAGGAACACAGTGTCCTATGAAAATAGAGGTGTTTATTATGGCTGGGATTGAATCTCAGGTGTGCTGTGTTCCATCTGTGAAATCTATCAAACCCTCAGGGAACAAGAGAGGCCTTGTTCTTTTTGGAGAGGCATTTTATGGCACACTGGAATTTTATTTCATTTCATTCACAAAATAATGTACTGCAATGCAGTAGCTACTGTGTCTTTTAAAAGAGAGCTCAAATCTTTCATTGTCCCACCAAAATTTTAATCAGGTCATCTTGTAAAGCACGTTGAGGTTCACTGCAATGAAAAGAGCCCTTGTTGGTGTTGTTTTGCCAGGGAGGTATTTCACAAAGCAGGATTTCCCAGTTAGCCAGATAAGCCCAAAGATGAGGACTGTCCAATAAGAATGTCCCTAAACTCTTTTAGTATTGGACAGCCTGAAACTTTGGGCTTAAGTTATCTGGCTATATTGAGAAATACTCCCCCAGATGTGTATACTACAAAGTGGTGGTAATGCAATATGACGATATGACAATACGTTGTTGCTACATGTAATTTTTAATGTGTTTTAAGTATATCTTGGGTGTGGTTAGTGCTTTTAGAGCACTGAACGCTTGAATCATGAAAAAGCCTATACTATAAGTCTATAAACAACATAAACTATTGTATAATAATTGCACAAACTGCATCTTAACAAATGGCTCATTGGATGTCAGACCATTATGAAAACATCTTGTATTATTCATTCATTTATTCATCTATTTACATCTAATAACCCTCCTGTTATTTCTTTAAATAGTTTAATTCTTGCACATGTTAAATGAAATCTAATCATAATCCTCATAGCTTTAATAGTCTTAAATATTGTTTTCTTTCGTGCATTTTGACCATAGAAAGACATCAGAAAAACAAAATATAAGGCTGTCAAAGTTAATGCGTTAATAACTTTTTAAAGTGACATGTGACTAACATCACGAATTTTATTAACACTGCATTTCCTTAGTTTCACTCTTCAACTCAGCTGTAGTAGTGCAGGCTGAAGCCCTCAGCTGTAGCCCTCTCAGTCAAAAACTGCTTTTTAAATAGCTGTTAAATTGATACTTTCAGCACCTTCAGCAGACTAAGCTGGAAAGTCCTCGTGGGAGAACTATGGATGAATCAATGAGCAGCAAACTAACAAAAGCAACAGCAAAGTGGAGCTTCAGTTTCCCTCAAGAGCCTCCACTGAAACAAAAATCTATGTGCTGTATGAATGAGAGAGAGAGGCTACAAGAGTTGAACTAGTGATTGTATATGTGATATATGTGATATTTACACTCATTGTATATATAGATATAGACATTCATTGTTTGGAACATTCAGACACTTTTACTGTAACTTGACGTTGGGGAGATCATGTGATTTTCATGTTTAGGTTGATGTGAACTCATTCACATGATGAAAATGATGTTATTGAATTACTAAAAGTAATACATACTTCTGACAGTGGTTGTTTTGCCCAATCACAAAGCTGTAACGAACTGTGCTGTTTTTAAAATGAAATGATAAATCCTTCTTTAGACAAATTTAAGCAAATAAGACATAAATGATTCATTGTGACTATTTTAATCATTTTACAGTTCTAACCATGTTGCATAATATGTTTTCTACTATAATGCTACATTTTTGCCATATTGCCTTCCTTCAGTATGAGCAAAAAAAGTCTTATTCATATTCATCACAACACAAACAAAGTGATGCAATGATAACAACCATCAGCCTTAAGTTCAGTGCTTACCATAAAGACTGCGATGGCTCCCCCGATGATGAAGCCGGCGATGACATCAGACCAGTGGTTTCGGTACTCCACCACGCGGTTAATCCCCGTTAGGAAGGCCAGACACATGAGCCCGAGGGACAGCACAGGCTTGGCCAGCCGCGTGCCTTTGGCCTTCACCGTGCATGTGATGTACATCTGCGGAAACACATGAGCAGTCACAATCAGTCCTCATTTTCAGCACTGTGGACTCTAGTTTTACAGCCTGCCTGTTCTCTGCTGTTCTGTAAAACCATGTTTATATTTGAGAATTTGGAAAGCGGACCCCCTGCAGACGGATCCTCAGATCCACTAAAGATCCACCTGAACACTGCGACTCCTCACTGCTGTTTACACACCTCACTAATGTAAAAGTAAAAGTGGAAGCATGATATTATACAGGATTCTTAGTTATCCAAAGTGCTTTTTCCACAATTTTCCACTTTTTCCAAATGTAGTTGATAAGCCAAAACGTGTATGGTTTTGAAATTTTACGAACTGTGAGGCTAATGCTGCTAACAAGCAATAGAAGTTAATAGTCACCCAAATCTTTTCTGTAAATACATCCCCAGAATTTCTCTCAACCGGCTCAAAACACATCCAGGTCTTCACAAACGTCACACAGTCTGGTTGATGTGGTTTAGAGCACAGTATGGCTACCTGTGAACTATAAAAATGAACAAAACTGCAGCTGAATGATGCAGGCAGCCACTTTAGGAACCAACAGTCGTTCTTCTGTTGAATCCTTTCAAAGGCACCTTTATTTTAGAGACTGCTTTTAAAAGTTCATATTCATAAATATTTTCTATATTTAATGATTGTGTTTTGTATTTATTGCTAGGGGCCACAGACACATTTTATATCTTAAAAACCCCCAGCAGACCTGTTTCAGACTGTGTGGTATTTGAAGGGAAGCAGTTAAAGTCATTCTGTGCGTCCTCTCTGTTCCTCCTGCTGCTCCAGCCAAGCCTCCGGGGGAAGAAGGAGAGAGGGAGGGAAGAGACAGAGAGAGGGAGAGAGAGAGAGAAGGGCAGCAGTGCAGAAGCTGCCTTCCATCTCTCAGACTGAGGGCGACTAATAAAGCAGATACACTCACATGCACACAGTGTCAGGATGTGGGGTCAAACATATGCGCTATATGTATTATATATAAGTACCTATGTGTAATAGTATTACATCCCGCATAAATTTATGAATTATATATATGCAAGTGTCTGCATGTAATAATAACATATCCCATATGTATTATATTTAATGATATACCATATATATATATATATATGTGTGTGTGTGTGTGTGTGTGTGTGTGTGTGTGTGTGTGTGTGTATAAATTGCATATTTGGTATATATTTTACATATATGTATACATGTGTGTGTATGTGTGTGTAAATAACATATTTGGCATATCAGCCGTCTACAAGCAACTTATTGGTTTTCTATCCTTAAAATTTCAGTCAGGATTTTGGCCTAATTGTACTTAAACCGCTCTAATTAAAGTTATTAATGACATTCATTTAAATTCAGACTCTGGAAAAATATCTGTTCTACCGCTGCTCGATCTCAGCGCTGCCTTGGATACCATTGACCATAAAACTCCCATAGACAGGCTTAAGAAATGAGTTGGACTCTCAGGAACTGTCCTAAAATGGTTCAGTTCATACCTGCAAGGAAGGAACTACTTTGTCGAAGCAGAAAATAATGTTTCTGAGAGAGTGCCAGCGACCTGTGGTGTCCTCCAGGGCTCGATTCTTGGGCCACTTTTATTTAATTTATACATTCTTCCTCTTGGCCAAGTCCAACAAGGCTATGGGATATCTTACCACAGCTGTGCAGATGATTCTCTACTTGGCCCTCTCCTCAAAGAACTGTGCTCCCCTTGACTCACTTTGAGTGCCTTGAGCACATCACTAACTTTCTGCAGTTGAATAATAAGATAAAACAGAGATTATTTTATTTGGGAAAAGCAACATGAGGCACAGACCAGCTGCCTATCTGGATTCAAGAGTCCTAAAAACTCTAGAACTAGCACATAACCTTGGTGTACTAATGGATGCTGATCATAGTTTTAGCAGTCAAGTTAAAGCAGTTACTAAATCAGCATTTTATCACCTTAAGAACATCAATAAGATCAGAGACGTTCTGACTAAAGCAGACCTGGAGAAACTCATCCACGCCTTTATTTCTACAGGATTGATCACTGTAATGGTCTCCTAACTGGACTCCCAAAAAAGGCAATCAAACAGCTTCAGACGATTCAAAATGTGGCTGCCAGAGTCTCACTAGGAGTAAAAGAAGGGTTCACATCACCCCCATTCTTAAATCCTTACAGTGGCTACTCGTAAGTTACAGAATAGACTTTAAGATACTACTACTGCTCTATAAATGGCTTAATGGTACAGTAGCAGGATATTTATCTGATGTTCTGCAGAGATATGAGCCGAGCAGAACTCTCAGATCATTAGGAACTGGTCAGTTGGTCCTGCCGAAGGTGAAGACTAAACATGGAGAAGCAGCGTTTGGCTACTATGCTGCTCTTAAATGGACCCAGTTGACAGAGAGCATTAGAAGAGCCCCGACACTGGACACTTTAAATCCAGGCTCAAAACGTTCCAATTTGAGCAGCTTTCAGCTCAGTTTAAACACTGTTAGCTCTACTGCACTTCACTCCTGTAACTTAATATTTAATTTGAATTTTATTTTAATGTTCATTTCTTCTCATTTAAATCTATTTCTTGTCATCATTGCTTATCATCACGCTATATAGAACCATTTTCAGAAAGGTTCTATATAGAACCATCTATAGCACATTCTCCATCAACCTGAAGAGGGTTCTTTGCATTGTGAAAGGGTTCTTCAGATTGATGGAGAATGTGCTGTAGATGGTTCTACATAGAGTCTTTCTGAAAATGGTTCTATATAGCACCAAAAAGCGTTCTTCTATTGTTACGGCGTAAAGCTTGTAACAATAGAAGAATCCTTTTAGGTGCTAGATAGGACCCTCTATAGCACATTCATGCACATTTTCCATCAATCTGAAGAACAATTTCACCATGAAAAGAACCCTTTAATCATGCAAAAGTGTTCATGACTCTATAGAGAACTTACTAAAGAACCCTTGGAGAACCATCCTTTTTTAAGAGTGTAGTCCAGTTTTTATCTGGTTGTCCTACAAAATCAGGACATTTTTGTCCTGAAAATCTACACACACACACACACACACACACACACACACACACACAGAAAGCCTGGAGCAGTAGCAGATACACACTGAACCATACTCACTGCCCCCTCCCTCCATCAGGCCTCCATGTGCAGCATCTTCTCCTGACTGCATCCATCCTTAACATCCCATCAGAGACAGCAGAAAGCAGTAATTAAGCAAAGCAAACAGGCCTTAAGGCTCAGTCACTCCATCGATCCTCCAAACCCTCACTCATTTCTGTATCACTCGGCACGACAGCGCACAGTAATTCTGTCCATCATCCAGATTATTAAAGTGATTACTGTCACTGGGGGCATCAATTTAATCTCTTACAAGTCCAATTTGGGATTTTCCTGCATTTTGTCCATACACACACACAATCCCCTCCAAAAGGCCCCCTGGGTGTTTGTGTTAAAGTCAGCCTCCTCTGAATTCATGTCGTCTTTGATTCGATATTTGCAGAAAATATTACTTATTTGACGAGCATCATCAATGCTGCAATGTCAATTTACACAACAGATAGTTCCAACCACACAATCTGATTGGTGGGAAACGTTCTAGTCGTCCTGTTTTCCACAATGACTGTGTCATTCAGCTGAACACCAGCCAACGATTCACACTGCAGTTAACTGCCACTACGTTTCTACTTTGACATATAGAAACAACAAATATTTACATGAGATAAATTGTATAACATGAAAAAGTGACCTGTAGCCTGTTTGGTCAGATTCTAAAGAAGAGTGTCACCACAGAACTGCCTTAAATTCTGAGCCTGGCACTGACCCCTAAACAAGCTTGTCAGTCAACAGCTATGATCATTAACCCCTTAGGAAGCCAGTTTTATTACACACTTCTACAATAGAAAATACAGCTCAACCAGTTTGCACTGAAGTCCCTGTAGTTACTGAATAATAACCCTTAGTATGTAATAAGCCTGGGATTTTAAGGGTTAAACAAACTGGAATTAGCCAGAAACCAATAGAATAGAGTTCAGAAGTAGAATTCAGAACCATTGACCAATTGTGCTTTCACACAGAATAATCTGACCTCTGCAATTAACCCATCCATGCAGACCAGCGCACACACACTAACACACACACACTAACACACCACCACCATGTCAGTGTTACTGCAGTGCTGAGAATGATCCACCACCCAAATAGTACCTGCTCTGTGAGGGTCCATGGGAGTCCTGACCACAGAAGAACAGGGTAAAAGGGGGCTAACAAAGTATCAGAGAAACAGATGGACTACAGTCTGTAACTGTAGAACTACAAAGTGCACCTATATAGTAAGTGGAGCTGATAAAATGGACAATGAGCGTAGAAACAAGGAGGTGGTCATAATGTTATGTCTGATCGGTGTAGGTGTATATCCTAATACTGAAAAATGAATAAATGTTTTGACTGGAAATGAAATAAATGAAGGACAGTCTCTGACTTTTGTGTATAACTGTACAAACACTATGTGTCCGAAAGTACGTAGACAACTGCTCGTGCAGAGTTTCTAGGGAGTTTAAGCTCCTTTGCTGCAGTAACAGCCTGTACTCTACTGGGAAGGCTCCATCTCTCCAGAGCCCAGTGCTGGGGGGCTTTATACCCCTCTAACCCACGCTTGACATTGAGCAGCATTTTAACCTTTGGCTCCTGGGTCAGTGCTCCAGAGCATGCCGTTCTATTGGCAGTTTTTAATGTAGATTATACAAAAAACTTGAATAAGAGCCAATATATCTTACATTATCCATTTAATCAAAGGAAAACCATTGTCTCTGCTTTTACACACGTCTTCTTCTACACTTCTAATGTCCTTGGATAAGGCATACGGAAGCAGCTTTCACAGTAAGATAGAAAATCTAATGATTCCTTAATGGCCTCTCCACTCTTCTTAAATTTGTAGTTTGCAAGAAAGTGCAAAGTTGCAGACCTCAGGTGAACGGATGGAGAATGAAAATCAATTT